GTTCGGTGTACACAGTGAATGCCAGACATGCCACAACCACAGTGAAACCCTGTCTTTAAAAGAAAGAAGACCAAAAGAAAAAAAAAATTCCTACTAACCTAGATAACTAACAAGCATAAACTGAAAGAAAAAAAAAAATAGATAGGAGGGCACTGGATGCCCAGGTCCTATGTTAAGATCCCAAAATGAAATCTCCAGATGGAAGGTGAAAACCCACCAAGTTGTGCTTTTCAAAACCCCAGTGAACTAGGTGTGGTGGCACACACCTGTAATCCTAGCACTCAGAAGGCTAAGGCAAGAGCAGTGTAATTTGTTAGGCTAGCCTAGGATATATAATGAGATTATCTGAAAAAAAAAGTGATACATAGTGAGGTTAACAACCTTTCCACTAGCCTGTGCAATCTACAACAGCTACTAAAGTGGAGGCAAGCTGACTATCAAGGCCAGCCTGAACTACATAAGACCCTGTCTCCAAACAAATCAAGTAAAAAAGCAAAACAACAACAAAACACGACTTGCTACATAAAACCCTGAGCACCAGTGAATGTATACCTAGCTAAACAGGGTGTAATATGACTATTTCATATACAGTTGGGTTAAACATACTGCTAAAGTTATAATGGAAGGGCCCAGTGTGGTAGTCACTTATAATCTTAGTATTGAGGAAAAATCAGAATGATCAGTTCAAGGCCAGCCTTGCCTACATCAGACCCTGTTTCAATAAAAGAAATTAAAAAAAAATTACAGCAGCAGAAGACAACCAGAGGAGGGGGACCCACATGGCTAAGATGACAGCTATAACCTAACTTATTCCAAGTCATCAAATACATCCTTTGTCCTGTTACTTCAGTACAACTGTTTCACTTCATTATCTATTCTTCCTACCTCCTTCTATCTCTGTAGCTAATGAAATATTCATCCTTTACGCCCAACCGAACTATCCCCATGTGACTCTTTCCTCATAGTGATATATCAATTCCCGCTGGACTCCAGGGAAAGCAGCAATCCTGAGTGTCTTCAGCCCATTATGAGCCTGTGGCCTGGTCAAGCACAAAGCAGTTGTGCATACAGAGGGCTGTACTTGGGAGGCACAAGATTTCATCAGATATAGATCAAATTTATCAGTCACAATCAGTGCCCAATGGCCACCTGTAGTGAGCAGTTACTATACCTGGCAGTGTATTCACCAACATTCATTCCCATTATTTCAGAAAGTTTTAGCAGGCAAGCCTAGTCTAGATTACATTCTCTCCTCCTCAGTTTGTCCTGTGTGCTCCAAAGGACACCTTCTATATCCTTTCAGACCAAGCACTAGTAGTACTTTGATAACGTTTCACAGTAGTGATTCCTGTACAGGGGCTATTGGCCTAGCTCTGACTCAGTTACTCCTGACAATAGACCATTCTTTAGCTTTAAAAAAATGTTGCTACCTCAGTTCTGACTCCTTCTCCTTCCCAGAGTCAAACTGGAGACCATAAGCCAGTAGGTGACTGAGGCTAAAGAAAAAATGAGTGTGTTTCTTCCTTTGCCAGCCCAAATATCAGCCCAAATGCCAAGACAGAGCTCTGGCGGGCAGTGCCCTCACCTTCCCTTTCCAGTTCCTCCTCATACATGGCCACCTCTTCCTCCTCTTCACCTCCCTCTTCTTCCTCCAAGGTGAAGGACAGGCTAGAGATCTTCCGCTTGGCCTCCTTCTTGCGCTCCTTCTCTCGCAGCTTCTCTAGCTTCCTACCAAGGCATGGGTGGCCATCATGCCCCATGTTCCTGCCCTGAGGCCCCTTCCCTGACCCAGAGCCACTTTGTGCCTAGCATGGAGTACACTCAGCACAGGCTGGATCTCCCCAGCACCCCAAAGGGATTCTACTTGCCCTAGTTTGCTTCAAGCTCAAGGGCAGGGCTCTGATTATGACACACCAAGCATAAAAGGCACAGGGGTCATAGGACAGAGAGGAATAGGGACAATGCAGGCTGTTCAGGCACCCAGTAAAAAGAAAGGGCTCAGAAAGGACTCACCACCTTTACAGAGGAACAGAAAGAAAGATAAACCTGGAAAGTGAGAACCAGTGTGGAGCTCAATAGATACCACAACTGCTCCCAAAGCAGAAAATGGGTTCTCCCTATGGAATGGGAACAGCCTGACCCACCCCCAGGAGTTCCCAAGCACTAAGCTGCACTGTAAGGGGAGGGCTGCTAAGAGAGGATGGGGGACCCACAGCTGTAGCTCCTTTGACTGCTCCTTTTTTGCCAGCTGCTTCTCTCGTTCCTTCACCAATGCCTCCTGCTTGGCCTTCATGTCATTCAGGGTCACAAGACCTGTAAGGCAAAGAGACATGGAAGGAAAGGCTGGTCACCAAGGGCCAGCAAAGGAGTAGCCCCTGGGTCTGGAAAAATGTAGTATGTGTGTCCTGCTTACCCACAGTACTGGACTTGAGCTCTGCTTCCACAGCATCATAGTGTGCGGAGAATTTCTTGTCAATGTTGGATTTCATTATGTTCTCCTGCAGGAAAGGGACACATCAGTGAGGACCATCTACCACTCCACTGAGAGTGGCTGGGGGTCCTAGATCTGTGCCTGGACATTCTACGGTATGATTGTAGAAGAGACACACATACCCTTCCTTTTCTGGGTAGAAGGGTCCACGAAGCTAGGAAGGCTAAAGGAGCCAAAGGAGGTTCTTTCCTTGGCATCTTTGAACTGCTCAGGTCCCAGTCAGGTCTGCTGCTGGAGATCAGCACCCCCTCAGTAGTCTATTACCATCACCCTACTGCACCTTGGGCCTTTTTTCTACCCAGCCTTTAAGCTGAAGCTCCTGAGACCCCAAGCTATGAGATTTCTGGAAAGGAATCAAAAACACCCCCTACGCCCAAATTTTCCTCCCTTTTGGCCCAGGATGATTTCAGCAGTTTTCCAAAAGGCCACTGTTCTTCAGACCAGCCAGGTAGGTCCCTCTAACCAAGGCCTCCAAATGAGTAGCCAGCAGAGCTATACTTCCAGCTGTCACTGAAGCAATGGGGTCGGAGCTGGAGGACAAGCATGAGTGAGGGTTGATAATACCTCCATCTGAAGACTGGTTTTGGGGTTTGGCTTCTCACTTCTCTAGATAGGAAGGTCTCACCTGGAGAGCTAAGGCCCTGATCTTCTCAAGAGTCTTTCCCAAAGGACCAAGTTGAGGTCTCCTAGATGGTACCTGAATCCAGTGACTGCTAACTGAAGAAGCCCTGAGGGAAGTGCTAGTATTCTGGGATGCTAAAGGCTCCGGAATGAGCCTGAGTGTCACACCCATGAGCCTCTTCACAGGAGGCGAGTTCTTCCCAGTATGTACTGGAAGAATGGGAACATGAACTATGAAACTCTGTACTTAGGAGTGCCGGGGAGTCTTGCCCAACATCGACACCAAGATTCACTAACTGTGGCTACCTTCTGCTGGAAGTTTTCACAAGCTGGGGTCCCAATCTCTGACATGGCCCAACACTTGAGTCCATTTTACAGATTAGACTGTCTTGGCTGACTTCCATCACCATCCAGAGATGCAAAAGTGAGTCCCACTCCCAACGCGGAGCCCGCCCTTCGGGCACTCCTAGCCCACCATTGGAATCTCCCAGAGACAAGTAGCAAGAGACCGCCAGGGGGCCCGCGCGGAGCGCATGCTCTGAGGCGCCCCGGCCTGGCCCACACCTCTGCAATCCTCTGCTTCATCTGCTCCATTTGCTCACGCTGCTTCTCCCTCTTCTTCATCAGGTGCATGGCGCGGCCTGCCTCACTTGCGGCGCCTTTGTACTGAGCCATGGTAGCGGTGGCGGCGGCGGCGGCGGCGGCGGCGGTGACGGTGGCGGCGACGGTGGCGGCGGCGGTGGCGGCGGCAGCGGCAGCGGCAGCGGCGGCAGCGGCGGCAGCGACGACCTTGGGGGAGTCCTGACGGCTACCGCGACGGCGGCAGTTTAGTCAGCTGATACGTGACGTCAGCCACCAGGGAACGTGCGGACGCCGGCCCTGCCCTACGTCCTCGACTCTGGCACGTGATTGCACCTCGCCCTGCCCCACAGGAGGTTGCATCCATCCCTCACTGAGTCTTGAAAAGTCCCAAGTCCGTTCTGCTGGCCCTTTTGTGACAAGGAGCTGGTTGCTCTAGCTTCCTCAAAGTTAACTGCTATCTTAACCTGGGCCTCCAGTCCCCCTGACTTCCTCCTGTTGGCCCCAAGACTGAGTGCAGTGTTTCCCTGACTTGGCTGATGGAGCTCTTTCAAGCCACATCTCGTAGTCATGTATTCCCCTTCTTTCTGAGGCTTTTTGTGCTGCTTAGTCACACACTATTTAACTGCTTAGACTTTTAATATCACCCAAGGCTAGGTCTGGGTCTCTTTGCTTCCCCAGGACTGAGACTGGTTCCTGATCTCCTCTCCTCTTAAATATTTGTGAGGCTGAAGAGGTGGTTCAGGCAGTGATGGATGGGTACTGTATAATCTTCTGAAGGACTTAGGTTTGCGTCCCAGCACCTACATAGCAGCTCACAACTGACTTTAACTCCAGTCCCTGGAGATCCAACTGGCCTTTGCAGGCAGCAGATATGCAAGTGGTGTGCATTCACCTAGGCAAAACACCCATACACATAAAAATTTTAATGTGTGTATGTATGTGTGTGTATGTTTGCAGAAGCCATGGAATAGGTGTAGAGGTCATACTGTGGAATCGGTTTTCTCCTTCCACCTTTACACGGGACGGGCTCCAAAGATCAAACTCAAGGTTACCTGGGAAGTGCCTTTACCCATTGAACCATCTCACCTGTGCTATTCTGCCTCAGAGAGCCCAGAATGGCCATTAGCTCAAAGCTCCATACCTAGCTGCCTTCTGACTTAGAAACCACTAGTTATCAATAACCCTACTCAACCCCAGCTGACAACTTCACCTGCCTTGACCATTGAGGAGTTCTAATTCCAGAACCTAAGTTGCCCCAGTCCTGCCAACAACCCAACTTTTGTGCAAAGAACCTAAATATCCAGACTCAGTTTTCAACAGTTTTATTGGGAGATTTTTGTTTTCTGTGAAATACACTAGAGGTTGGGGAAGGGGGCACATTCACTTTGCAAGATAAGGGTTTCCCACCACTAAAGGAAAATGCATGGGGCAGGGCACAATGGGGTTTGGATCCACTTTCCCACCTCCTTCCGCTTTGCTCACATTACTTTTTCTCAGAGAACACAACACACACACACACACACACACACACACACAAATTCAAAACAAATCAACCTCCAGAGGGGGTGGTCACACCTAAACCTTACCCCACCCTAGGCTTTGCTGAGGATAGGAGAGGCCAGGTGAGCTCACTCTACACAGAAAGGCTGAGGGCTCAGATAGGTAGGACAAAGTTAATAAATTAGAATAAATTATAAGGGGGAGGAGGAATGCAATTTTGTGCTGGGAAGGTCCCTTATCTCCAACACAGAAAGAGTTGGGGGAGGAGATTGGGTATCTCCAAAGGCCACTACATTGGGAGTAAGAGCAGTTGGGGGTAGATTCAGCTTTTCCTCCACTCCTTCCAAACAGCAGAATTGGGGGCAGGGGTTTGTATACACACACACACACACACACACACACACACACACACACACACACACACGTACATACACACGTTACACACACACACAGAGGGTGGGGGGAGGAATCCTCTTTTCCTAGAACAAGGTTAGGCCAAGAAAGAGGATACTATGCAACTCCCATCACCCAGACCATCGCTAAGGTTAAGGATTTGGTCAGTGAATCAAATCAATGAGGTGGGTGACTGGAATGTGGTGGGGGAAGCAGAAGATGCTGGAAAGAGGGGTGCCCAACCATACAATCTCCCCTGCCCTAGAGAAGGACACACAAGTTGGGATGAGGGGAGCAGGGGCTGGAGGAGGGGAATCAGCAATCACTGATCAGCCTCTCCAAAGACATCATTCTGTTTGCGCTTCATGTTCTCAAAATCAAAGGCTGAACCAGCCATGCGTTTGTAGATATCTTTGATGTCATTGCAGGTGGTCTCAAAGTGTGTGGTGGCATCATAGGAGCAGGAGCAGAACACCTGAAATAGGCAGAACCGCACAGCTCTGGGAAGTTAGGCAGAGGATCTTGGGTGAACAACAAGAACCAGGGCTGACTGGGACTGGCTTACCTGACTGTCAGAACCATCATCAATGGGCTCATACAAATCACTGATAGCCACAAACCTGAAGGGCAAATGGAAGAAAGGAGAAAGGAAAAAGAAAAAAGTCTCATAATGGGCCTTGCTCTTTCCTGGTCTTCAATCCAGCCTCCCCATCATGTTTGGCTCAGCCCCTCACTTCTGGTCAATGGGTTCCAACAGCTCCAATGCAGGCTCAACCTCTTTTTCCGGATCGGCAGTCTCTACGGTGGTGCTGGCAATGGCAATGTATTTGCCCTGTGCAGCCACATTGTGTGCATAGGAGATCATGCACACGTAGATATCTGACCACAAGAAACACTTGGTTAACATGTGCCAAAGAAAATGGCCACACAAAAGCGTAGTTCCTAGGAACTGGACAGTAATCTGAATCATTTGCACCCCCACCCCAGCCCAACATGCAGACAACATTCTGATGAAAAAGGGAAGAGTTCAGGCCATCCAATCCCCAGGTATATCCTGTGACAAAATGTCACAACATCTTGGACTTCTAGTGAAAGAAGAGGGGCAAAGCAACAGAAGGGAGTCCCTTGTGACCTGGCCTACCTGACTTCCTGTTGACCTGGTTCTGAGGGATAATAATTTGGCAGGAATTGGCATCATTGGTGTTTTTGATGGGGTGGCTGAGAATACAGATGATGCGAATAACCTGGCCAGCCTTTCGTACACGGTCTGGGATGTAGCTGGGATCACAGATCAGCTGCTTGCAGCGAGCCACCTGTGAAAGTACCAGAAAGTTCTGCACCTGTCAGATCACCCTTTGCTCTGTAGTGTTAAGCTGAGCCAAAAGTATAGCTGGACAACTCTGAGCTGTTACCACTATCCTTCCTGTAGCACATAACCCCTTCCTTGAAGCTCAGAGAGGTGACCCTACTGCTGAAATACAATGATCACAAATACAATTGTTGTGAAGTTTTTGTTTAAGATTGTTTGGCCCAAACTCAAGATCTTCCGTCAGCCCCCTCAGTGCTCATGCCCCACCACACCAGGCTGAAGGATGGTTTTAGAGGGTGGGGAACTAGGCATGTATCTCAGTTGGTAGAGTGCTTGCCTATCATACATAAAGCTATGAGTTAGATTCCCAGCAATGCATAAATCAGGTATCTTGACACATACCTATAACCCAGCATTAGGAAGGTGAAAGCACAAGAATTACGAGTTCATCCTCAGTTATATACACTATTTGAGACCAGCCTGGGATACATGGCACCCTTTCCAAAAGAATGCTTTCAGGACTACAGACACACTTCTGAAGGATACTTACATCCATCTGCCTCTGCCTCCTGAGTACTGGGATTATAGGTGTGTGCCACCACACCTGGCAATTTGAAGGATATTTCACAGGAAGAGCTACGTAGACTTTTTTTTCAAAGATTTATTTATTGTGTACACAATGTTGTCTGCATGTACACCTGCACACCAAAAGAGGACCCCAGATCTCACTATAGTTGGTTATGAGCCACCCTGTTGTTGGTGGGAATTGAACTCATGACCTCTAGAAGAGCAGCCAGTGCTCTTAACCTCTGAGCCATCTCTCCAGCTCCCGCTATGAAGACTTTTACTGACCACCTAGTCCTTAGCTATAAAGTTCTCAGGGTTAAGCAGCAGCAAACTCACCAGTAATAACACTACATTCCTTAAGCCCTGAAAAAGACCAAATCTTACCCAAACCATGGTAACACAGAATGCACAGGGCAGGCTTACCTCTCCCTCAGACTTCACACCAACCACCTTGCCATTCTCCATGATGATATCATCCACAGGTTTGTTCAGCATATATGTTCCCCCATAGATGGCACTCAATCTATAGTTTTAAAAAATGATGGAGAAGTCTTCTCATGAGAATGGGAACCAATTACACTGTATTCTCCCCACCTACTAGTGAGGTAGAGAAAACTACCCAGGTAGACAGAGCTCAACCCCAAATGTGTCAGGTGTCCCTGTCATGAACTTAACGCCCATCTTGACTCTCTTTTCTTTCTTTTTCTATCCAGAATATTCTATTCTATAAAGGGTCAATGAGGGTAGCATGAAGGAATAGCTCCACATAGAAATGGTCCTGGAGTACAAACTAAAAAAAAAAACTCTCTGGAAAAGAGACAGTCCACAGGGAAACCCAGACTCAAGGATCTGGGATCCTAGACTTAGTCCTGGCACTACCAGGAGCTGGGAAAGCTATGCTCATGGTGACCTGGTCCTTTATTTTGCATTTCATTTACTTTTAACATAAAATTTTTATATTTATTATTTTATCTATGACTGCTTTGTTGACATGTATGCCTGTACACCACATGCATGTCTTTTACCTGTGGAGGTAAGATGAGGGTTCTAGATTTCCTAAAACTGGAGTTATGGATAGTTATAAACCACCATGTGGGTACTGGAATTGAACCTGGGTCCTCTGTGAAAACAAATGCTCTTATCTGCTGAGCCATCTCTCCAGCCTCTACTCTGCATTTTAATGCACTAGGGTTGTGCCCCCATTATCCAGGGATGGAGCAATGTACATGAAAATTAGATGGAAAAGTAAAAGACACAAAAATGTTCAAGGCGGTAATTTCCATTCTTGACCCTAGTCTTACCCAGTAATACCAGCAGAAAAAAAAAAAAAAAAAGACAGACCCTCACCTTGCAAAGCCCTGGGGTAGCTCACCCAGGCCGTAGAGTGGGTACAAATATGGGCTCTTGCCGTACCGGGCCAGGGACTCACTGTACAACTTGATGCGGTTAATAGTCTCAAGACAAGGCTGATCCAGGTAGCTGGGGAACAAGAACCAGGAAAGATGCTTTGATAGCAGCAGCTTTGTTCACTTGCAAAGACACCACCCAGCCTTCCCACCACCCTTTGTGACCTGGCAAAGATGTGGGTCAAATGGAGAGGGATGGAAATGCAACAGGTAAGCCTGTAGCTTAGCACAGAGGTCATGCAGGGAAGGCAGTAGATACAATAGGTAGGTGTGGGGAGGGCAAGATGTGAGCCAGACAAGGGGCTCCCACCACCAGCCAGCTTTCCCCTCACTCATCAGTGCGGTAGAGCGCCAAGGCGTGGCCAGTGAAGTCAATCACATCTTGGCCCAGGTCAAACTTCCGGTAGACATCACGCATGCTGGTGGTCTGGGGGTCGACACCCTCAAAGGTTTTGGGATCATTCTCATCAAAGTTTGCCACAAACACCAAGAATTTTCGGAAGCGCCGTTTTTCAAACATGCCCATCAGATCTGAAGGAGAGGTACAGAGAAGATCCTTTGCATTACTGGGACATAAAACTTCTCTTTCCACCAGAGCAGAACCCTTTCCACCAGAACTCTGTAACACTGCCCCACCCTTCTTGGCTTCAGTTTTCCTATTTGTAGGAAGGAAGAGGCTCTCCCACCTCTTATAGAGGTCAAGCAGGCCCTTTACCATAAAGGAATCCTCCTCTGTGAGCTTTCTCTCTAGCAATTTGCCAGGATGGTTAGCGGTCCAATAAAGACACTACAAAGCAAGGGGCCTCTAAGACTACATGCAGGTAAGATTAGGCTTAGGCAAAGGGAAACCTTTTGCCTAACTGTCCTAAGAATAGTCTGCCTCCTCCTGCCCCATTACTCCCTAGTTAAGGGGACTCATACTCACTAGAAGCCAAGGCCTCAGTCTCAGTGGATGGCACTTTGTAGATCTTGCCCCCCTTGTACACAAAGCTGCCTTCTACCACCTTGAAGTCCAGATAACGAGTTACTTCTGTATACAGGAGCATCTTTACCAGCTGACCTGTGTCCAGAGTGGGCAAGGGACATTAGTAGGGTTCCCTTTAATAGTTCTCAGTACTCTGACTGACCTTATTATGGAACTTGACCCACCCCTCTTCTCAATTCCACCCCCTCATTCACCATATACAGTATCTTCTTAATCTCCCTCACCATTAGCCATGAGGAATTTGGGGATCAAGTCGACATTCCAGTCTCGGCCCCGGCCCATTGATTCAGGGGGTCCTTCCAGTAACTGAAAGCGCTTATACAGCTGTAAGCAGGACAAAAAGAAAGAAAAATGCCAAGGACCACCCCTTTTCCCACTCTCCTGCCCGGGACCTGGGAACTACTTCGCCCCCACACCCTTACATTAGAGACTAAGAAGGGGTCTAAGTCTAATCTCAGGTCCAAGAAGCCTTACCTCCTCCAAGGGTGTGATGGAAGAGCTCTCACCACCATAGTAGGGGTTTCGGTCCATGTGCAACACCTTCTTTCCATTCACAGACATGATGCCAGACAGGATGCACTCCTGGGGGAGGGGTGGTATTTGCAGCTATCCTCCCATCTGCCTTCCAACCTGCATCCCTGATTTGTCCCTGCCTCATACCCACCAAAAATTGCATAATGCAAAGCCCTAGCTCTTTGCAGTGCCTTCAACTGGGTAGGGGGAAGATGGCTTCATGAGATGTTTCTTTTATAGCCCTGCTGGGCAAAACAGTGAACTACTAGAGCATTAAAGGAGGTTTGGGGAAGCAGAGCTTCCAGCAGACCCAAGGACAGTCCTCTAGCCCCAACAAGCGAAAGAAGTATCTACATGCTCTGAGCCCACAAAAAGGTAAGACAATGAGTCTAGAGAAGAACCAATTCAAAGGCCCTTGAAAGGCCAGTCCTTGAAATCTCAGGCCCCACCCTGCTCCTCCTTCAAAAGGCAGGAGCCCCTGACCCTTCTGGCCCTATCCCACAGGTCTAGACTCAGGGATCAAAGCAAAAAGATTTAGAGGAAGGGGAAAAGACAAAACACCCTCACCAGTCACTGTCACCAGTCCAAGGACAAAGGCTGAGGATATATTCAGCCTGAGGTCACCATGGGAAATCGAGTTGAGGTAGAGGGAATGTGGTCACTACCCCCCACTGCTGCTGCTTCTGGAACATTCCCTGGGTTCCCTTTCATCTCCCAATAGACAGAAAAGCAGGATGAGGGCCCACCCTTAGAAAGTCCCCATACCCCTATCTTCTTACTCCATGCCCTAAAATGATTACCACAAGATGGTAAGGGATGCTAATCAAGGTTTCGAGCAGGTGATGATTGCAGGCAAAGAGTGGGGGCTGGGTGCAACGGGTCCAGTGTGTGCGGGGGAGGGGGGGCGGTGAGTTTTTCACCTCAGTGACACAAGGAAGATGAGAAGGGTCTGGGCGTTAAGATCTAAGGTGCGGGGATAAAAGCTGAAGGAGGGCCCTCTACGGGGAGTTGGGAACGTGGCAGCTCAATTGACATCCAGGGGTGAGGTAGTGGGGTGGGCATGGGATTGCCTTTTCCAGTACCGGAGCCAGAAACGCAATGATGGAAGGATGGGGTGGATACTCCGGACTCAGCATCACTGCGGAGCGGGGGGGGGGGGGGGGGGGGGGGGGGGGGGGGGGGGGGAGGCATGGTGCAAGGCTATGAGCACCTAAGGTGGCACTTACGGTGAGACCTGTCCCCAGCACAATCACATCGTATTCCTCGTCCATGGTCAGGCCTTGGAAACAGCGCCCGCTCGGCTCCTCCTCCTCCTTCACCACAGTAGCCTCTGCCGCTGCTGCTACCACCGCACTGAACCAAAGATGGCGGCTATTAGTCGCCTCCCGACTCCTCCGCGGCGTCAAAGAGTCCCTCACCCTCCTCCCGCCCCCCTTCAACCAAAGCCACCGTTTTCCTCGCTTGTTTTCTAGAGGGCTTCCTGCTTCTAGGCTGCAGCACCAAAGCCACTGTAGGGGTAACGTGGCTCCTCGCGAGTCCAGAGAAATACGGGGCGGGGTGCCTCACCGGCTGGTGCTGCGTCCTGGGAAGGATCCTTGCGCGGGAGCCGAAGGCGCCTCGCTCCGCCTCGCCCCCCACCCCCCCTTACCCGGGCGTTCCTGTACCGCCCCTTGGGACAAACGTCAAGGCCCTGCGGTGTGTCTTGCAGCTAGCAGTATCACTGAGAGAGCTGCCATTGTCAGGATTCCTCTCAGGGACAGGAGAAATTAACAGGCTGAACTCAAGAGTATCAGCTTGTTGAAGAACCTCCAACCCTTCCCCCTCTCACCTTCTGCCTGACATGACTCCATCTGAGCACTTCTTCCCCCTCATTCAAGAACAAATCTACAGTCCAGTGCAGAAATAAGTGACAGGAGGCCCAACAAATGGCAACACATCTTTATTTTATTAGGAAGAAAACAGTGCACCCCCTGACCCACCCCTGAGCCCGGCACTTGACAGGCAATCTAGTGGGAACAAGTCAGAAACCCAGTGAGCAGCCTCTGCTCACCAGATCTCTTGGCAGTCTCTTCCTTCTCATGCCACATAAATAAACCCCAGTGCACTGCTCATTCTTAACACAACAGCCCCCCCCCCCAAAAAAAAACAAAAAAACCCAGCCAAGCTGGACAGTTAAGTAGCTTTTCCACACCTTTCAAACTCAAGGAACCTCAAGTTTATGGCTGTTGCTGGAAGCTCCATAAAGCTTGGGGAGTGAGCAGTTACTACATAAAAAGCACTATAAACAGCAAGGGATAATAGCAAAGGGGGAAGAATAAATAAGGAGAAAGGGGAAAAAGGGGACCCTAGAATAAATGTCCCTTCCCCTCATGATGACGGAGCCTGGAAGATTTGTCTAATATCTATGAAGAATACACTTTGTTAGTAGACATGGGAGATAGCCCCAGGGAAGTCCCTCAGCAGAATAATGAGGAAGCAAGACAAGCTGAGGGTAGTGTAGTGCTCATGCTATAGTAGGAAGAGGACAAACCCTTCCATCCACTGTGCCACAAGATGGAAACTTAACAACCTAGACACCAACACTCCCTCAATCGCTCCCTGGTACAGGTCACACTATCTGGGTCAAAGTGATGGTGGGGGTCTTGTGGTCATCAAAGCGATCCATGGTCTTTAGGCTGAGTATCATGTGGAGGCCATAGGTGAAGATGAAAAGCATGAAGAGGGAGGTGAGCAGCCCCATCCAGATGCCTGGAGAGAAGAAGCCAGCACAGTCGCTAGCATAGGAGAACCGTTCGCCCGTCACATTGAAGGCCTGGATCTAGGAGACACATAGACATGGATCAGATGGGACCACCAGGTTCTGTAGACAGGAAAGGCTGGGATTCTGGAATCAGTGAACAGTCTATACCTCTAGAGACAGCACAAGGATGAAACTCTCAGCTATATGCTCAAGCCATACTGAGATTCTCTGGGCCTTTCTTCCTTCCCCCTACTACCACCAGCTTGGGACCCATCCTCCTTCCAATACCTGGAAGTCATGAAGAGTCATCTGCCAGGGTGAGGGCACGTTAGTCACAAGAAGACTGCCTTTCTTGCTCAGACTGCTGACATATTCACAGTGGAAAGAATAGATGCTGGGTCCTGTGACTTGGGAAACATTGAAAAGGGCAACAGAGCCATTGCTGTGGATTTCAAGTCGTTCCATGGTAAACCAGTATCGGGCAGACACTGGGTAGAACTGACTAACCAGAATGAACCTGAAAGGTGAGGGTAACAGAGATGTCAGATGAACAGAACAGAGTGGAAACATACCAGCCCAGACACATTTCAGCCACCAGAACTTACTTGATTGTCACTGCTGTGCCAAAGAGTGCTTCATAGGTCAACGAAAGCCTGTGGGACAAGGCAGAGGGGTGCTGTTAGGCTCTAGAAGCACCCTGAGCAAGGTCCTCATCCAGTTAACTCTAACCTGAGCTGCCCTAGGTCCATCTTTACAGCCACCTCTCAATAGTGTCCCCCCATTTAACAGATGGAAAAAAAATAAGGCTCTAGTCATAACCAATTCAGGAGCAGTTGGGGGACAGCACTTAGGTCTCACATCTCCAACTTAAAATTCCTTCCTCTGGTTCTCCTGTGTCCCTGGGCTTCCTTCTTTCAAACCCTTCTTGAGGTCATTCAGTTGCCTCCTGAGATTTCAGGGATAGGAGGCCTAGAACTGATTTTAGCAGTTGGTCTGGTACTTGCCCACATGTAGTCCCAGGGGTTGAACTAATAGAAACTCCTGAGAGGCTCCTTCTCCAGTAACCTCCCAGCAACATCATCCTGTAATACTATATCCATCTAATTGGTGAATATACCACACAAAGACCTTCTTCACCCCCAGCATATATACACTTAATCCCATATCCTTGCCCTGTACTGGGCTCACAGTGGCAGGAAGGCCATGTGTTGATAGCATAGTCCTTCCTTCCCTGCCTATTACCCTTACATGGCAAAGGAGTTGTTCCAGGAGGAGCCAGTCAAGTTAAGATTCTCCACACCAAATGTGAGGGAGGTCAAGTCTTTCCATTCGTCTTTGTATGCTACAGAGAAGTTTTGTGCCCAGAACAGGATCCTTGGGGCAGTGTCATTGTAACTCACAGGAGGATGGATTGCAGGTGATGCCACCTGAGTCTGAAGCAGCTGGCGACCTAGGCTTCCAGCCACCATGCCTATGTCACGGGCCACCTGCAGAAACATCCAACAAGCCTTCTCTCAACAGCCCTAAAAACAAAGCCTAATCCACTGTAATGGTCTCCCTCCCCACTAGGTACCCTGTATACCATCTGAAAGTCCCCAGCCCTGATAGTCCCTCTCCCTAAACTTATGATCACTTGCAGCAAGTATGAATGAACACTGCTCAAATTAATCACAAGCAAGATAGAAAAAAAAAAAAGACACCAGGGATGGAGGAAACAATCCCCTGCCTATTAATTCCCACAAGCTGGAGGCTCCTGGGAGGTTTGCATGTAACATACCCATCCATCTCCAGGCACAGTCAACATGTTGCCTCATACCCCCCTTCCCCAGGGCACCTGCTAGAAGAATACATACTCTAGAAGGGCGGACTGCAGTAAGAGCTGCTGTGTAAGGGACGTCTTCAGACTTGAGTGTGCTTAGTACCTGTCCAATGACCTCATCTGAAGAGTGACAGAAGAGCAGAGAACCAAGTCACCAGGTAGCCTGCTGAAAGAAATACTACCCAGTGTTTACTTTAGAGACCTTCTAGACCATGGGAATTCAGTGTTGTTAGTTTCCACTGAGGACCCCTAAAAAACAGCCATTTATTCTCCTATCCCTTCTACCAGTCTCTCAGGGGACATTTGTGGCCTCAATCATTGGCTTCCTAATGCCAAGCTAACCTAAGTAAAAGAAATTTATAGCGATACAGAGAACTCCATATCTACTCAAGTCCCTTTCCATTCAGATGGAGTATCCTTTACCACAAAGAGAAGTCCTCCTAATTGCTTCTGATACTGTTACTGGTCTATTAAAGCCAGAGACTCGTTAGACCTATACAGAAACTAGATTTCGGGGCTCTTGAACAGGGGGTCATAACACACTTGAACATCTATGTCTGATGGGACTGGCTACAGAAGAGCATAGCCAGGTATGAGAAACAGGAGGCTGCCTTGTAGTAGGAGAAAGTGGTTCTATTTTCCTGGCCCAAAGGCAAGATGAGGACACTCACCGTTGCCTGTGAGGACCTCCCTGGGCGCCATCAGACCGGAGCTGTGGATAAGAAAGTTAGAGGCCGGCAGGTTGCTCTGTTTTCAAGACCCTTGCTTGGAGCAGTTCTCTGAAATTCACTACCTTTCTCTTACCCCTTCCAACATCTCATTGCCCACTAGGCCCACTTCAGCAAGCACTGTGCACTTCAGCTGCTGCTCTCACAGTCATGTAGAAGCTCAGCTCAGCAGCTACCCCCTGCACCTCTACTTGCTTCAGTACCCCTGCCTGGAATCCCATTCCCCTTTCCCCACTTTGCAGGTATGTCCACCGTTCTATAAAAAATGGCCTCGGTGGTGAAGAGGTTTTCTACAAGTAGAGGCATTGTTTGTCTCATTTCTGGAGGCCCAAAAGGCCTAACTTAGTAGTGGATACTTGTAAGTCACAGCCTAACAGGAAGCCCGTTCTGTCTCTTCTAGACATACAAGAAACTTTCTGGAAGTCTCAAGGTGATGAATAGGGGAATATTGTCTTTTTTGACTGAACTCTGCTACCAGCAAAGCCCAGCACCTTACCCCTCTCTGAGGTTGCAAGGCTAGTGGCTGGAGGCTGTGCCACCCAGGCTGTACCTGGCTGTGTAGGGCAGGCGGATGAGCAGCAAAGCAGGGAGGCTGGCATTGAGTTTCAGCTCCTTTAGTGTAGCTAGATCCACATGCAGGGGACTAGCTCCAAGCTTTTCCTGCAGGTAGGTCGTCAGAGTGCTGATTGCATACCAGTCCACTGCAGGAAGCACCAGTGAGGAGGGGGCCAAGTCCAGGGCATTCTGATGGTAGGGAAGAAGTGGAAGGTAAAGTGAGCTGGAGATCAATGGGCCTAACAATAACCCCTAAAAACCTTGCCTAGAAAACCATACCCCACAGGAATCTCACAATGGGTCAGAAATTAAACGTCCCACATCTCCAGGCCCTAATACTCACATCCCAGGCCCTCTACCCTCAAAGCCTCTGGTTCTGTCTCCGGGAGAAAGAGCACAGAATGAATTGGCTGCAGCTGTGATCAGACTCTTACCTCCAGGTTAGAAAAGGCACTGTCTTGCTTATTTCCAAACACACCACCGTATGCTGTGAAATCCTCAATGCTTAGCTAAAAAGGAAGCAAAAGAGATGCCCCAGAAGTCTGGGCAAGGAACAAAAACCAGGACATGGGGCAGAGAGTGGGGAGATTCTCACAACCAACAAAACATTACAAGTCAGATTGGCATTGGGGGGAAGAGTGAACCACCAGCACTTGTGATGGGGGTAAATGGAAGACTCTTTTTTCCTCTGCACTCTGAGGACAGGGTAACAAGATATAGAAGGTGGTCACAGGGTTGGAAGATCTATGGATAGCTGGTTTGTGATAACCTATAAAATAAGAGTCAGCCAGCAAGATGAACCAGGAAGTGAAGAGGGAAGGTAGAAAAGAGGAAGAGGGACAGCAAAGAACATTTACTGCATGCCTCCTAAAAGGGAAGTAAAAGTCAGAACAAAGGATAAACTCTATGTTCAGTCTGAACAGGATCTTTTTCAAAGGAAGAAAAGTCCTTGCCCCACCATTTTTGGCAGGAGTTAAGACAGAGAAAGATATTGGAACACAGGAGGAAACTGAGACTTCTGAGCTCTCAGGACCCCAGTAACTCCAATATCATGCCCTTCTCTCTACAATCTACAAATGTTTTACCCCTTCTCCCCTCAACCCCCAGCTAACTTGCTCTAGCTTCTCCCAGTTAGGCCCAGAGGAAATCTTAACCAGCTCCCTAAACTCATATGTGTTTCGTATACATAAGCCCAGCCTCCTTTTCTTCTATAATCTTATACTCTGTGCTACATATGCAAGGCTTTGTCAGAACTGTCACCAACTTTACACCTTGTGACATCTCCTTCATCTCTAGGTGACCTAGCATATCATCTTCTATCCTTTCAATCACTCACTAGGCTCCAGTCTCGCAAGCACTCCACTGCCCAGGGCCTTTACACCTGTTCTGCTGACAGTAATGCCCCACCTCAAAAGTCACATGACTCCCTCCTGCCAACAAGATGTTATCTCAGGAGACCCTACCTGATCACATTGTTATCTAAAACAATGTCCTTCCTTACAGTGTGGCCTTAGCCTGCTTCCTTCTCTAGACTAAAGGACTGATATCATATTATGTGCCAATTTTCCTCTTAACCAGTTAATTTCACAAGAATGTCTACTTCCTAACACATTGGCAAAAGAAGGAGATGCCATAAGATTGGGGGACTGGATGATTTATGTAGATTACTTCTCTCAATCTCTTGGTATAGGCAGGTATCTTCATTTTGCACTTGTAGAAACTATAGGGTTTTTGCTTGTTTGTTTTTGTTTTTTTCAAGACAGGGTTTCTCTGTGTAAAAGCCCTGGTTGTGTTGGACTCACTCTGTAGACAAGACTGGCCTCAAACTCATACCACACCACAACACCCAGCTAGAAACTATGGTTTACAAAGATTATTCCATGTGTCCAAAGACTGAAAAATGGTAGGACTGAGTTCCAGTCTGACCTGTTATTTACCACCTTCTGAAAGAACTATCAGCAGGGTGGTGGTGGTGTGTACCTTTAATCCCAGCACTTGGGAGGCAGAGGCAGGCAGATCTCTGTGAGTTTGAGGCCATCCTGGACTACAGAGCAAGTTCCAGGACAGCCAAGGCTACAAAAAGAAACCCCGTCTTTTTTGGGGGAAAAAAAAAAAAAACAAAGAGAGAGACAGACAGAGACAAAGAGAGACAGAGAGAGATGACAAGGAAAAAAAAGAGAAAGGACTATCAACCAGCACAATTATTACCACCAGCAGACATAGCAAAAGAGGAGGCCACAAACAGAATGAGCCAGTCAGGCCACTAAGGAGGAAGGGACAAGCAGAGACTTGATATCCTCCTGAACAACAATCTTATGCCATGCTAGAACCTTTTTATAGTCCATACTCCTGCTCTGTGTGCACACACCTGAAGTGAAAGGAAAACAGAATGTTGGCTCAGCAGAAAACTGGAGGACAGGTCTGATACCCCCACACTGGAAGCAGTGTGTTGGGGTGTCTCAAAATCTGGACCTTCAGCAACTCATTTTACCTCTTCAACATTACTTTCCTTAGCAGTTAAATCAAGATAATAATATCAGTTGAGCACAGTGCATATACCAGGCTAAATAAGGGGTCATTTTCCAGTTACTCCGATTGTGACTGTGACAAAAATTACAACTCTGTTACCCATTAGCTATATGACCTTGGGCAAGTCACTGATCTTGCCCCAAAATGAGTCTTCTCAACTGTGAAACTGAGTAGTAATTCCCACCATGCTACAGGACAACAGAAAATAATGCTTAGTACTAGGGTAGGTATCTGATCTTTGACCTCTTGCTTCCTTAAATCAAGTCCCTGACATTTCTGTGAGTCACCTGTTCCCACTGAAGCTTCTACAAATCTTCCCAAAAATCTAGCCACAACTGCCCACAGGTGGGACAAGGTCACTACAGTTTCACCTGGAGAACCAGCAGTGGGGGTGGAGTGGGGTCTGCTTTCAGACAACAAAGACAACAGGCTAGGGCAGGCTCACCTTGTCCTGCAAGAACAACAGTACGTTGCGGGGGCCCAGCTCCAGCGCAGGGTCTAAGTAAGTAGAAAGCTGCATATCGCTGGTGATATGGCCCTCATGTGTGTCGGCCACAGGAGTCCACAGGTCCCTGGAATTTAACAGAAGAGGAAATGTCAGATGTGATTTCGTTGTTTGATATCCTATGCTCATTGGAATCCGGCTTCACGTGCGGGTCCCTGAGATTTGGACGTTGGCCGTCAGGGAGCAAGCCCCTGAATAAGAGGCAGTCTCCATCTGGGCCTCGAAGCCCCTGGCCAACCACAGCCCTGGAGTTCAGCGAGGGCGATTCATCCATTGTGGCGCACCACACGGCCCTCCCGGATCCAACCTGACCCGATTCATTTCAGCTGGGCTGGGCCCGGCCGACCCGACCTGGCCCGGGACGCTCACCGGTCACTCGACCACAGTACCAGTGGCACCTGCTGCTCCGCGGCCACTGCCGCCGCCACTGCCACCAACGACAGAAGCAGCCACTGGACCGGGGACCGCCGTGTCCCCATTCGTATCCAAGATACCACGGTTGCCGCCATCACAGCCTCAGTCTTCGGTGTCTGGGCCTCCAAGGCCGCTGCAGATCAGATGACCGTCACCTCCGCCCGAGCCCCGCCCCCATAGATCTGGGCGGGGGCCTCCCACATTCGCCTGTGATTGGGCCAAGTGCGTGGCACTCATGACCACTCCTTCTCGCTGGTTGGCTGTACGTGTCTTCAATCGCGCACGCTTCTTGTGAGAAAGGAGGCGGGACCTAGGCTACCGGCTGCTACCTGGCTTAGCTGGGCAGGGTGGTTCTATAGAGCCCCATGCTCATTATTTTGCTGCTTTTTTTCTGTTTTCGTCTTTTTTGTTGTTGTTGTTGTTAAACTCGCAATACAGGAGTCTTTTTTCCAAAAATAGATCCTCTCTCTTGTACAAATGAAAAACTGAAGTTCCTTAGAATCAGAAGAGGGCCCACCATCAGGGGAACACCAGCCAGTACTTAAAATGGGCAAGATGGAGGAGGGTCTGGAAAAGAGAACAGATGGAGCATACGAAAGGAGGGGAAAACCTTCCCTTCTGACAGCGAGGTCTGAGGGACAGCATAAATAACAATTTTAGTGTCATTTGTCACTAAAAGGCAGGTAATATGGTCAGAGCAGAACACTCTTTTTACTTAGCAATACTTTTTCCAGCAAGGGCTATCTCACTGTAAGTTAGGGGAGACTCCCTGTGGGAGAATTCTTTCCTTTGATTTGCCTTAGAAGAAGGACTGACAGCTAGAGTCAGAAAATGGAAAGTCGCAGGCACAACAGAACTAAGAGACTTTTCTGTTTGTTTGTTTTTTTTCTGTTTGTTTTTTGTTTTGTTTTGAACAGGATTGTGGTATGAAGGAAACTCAGTATGTAAATCTCAACCTTTCAAATGCTAGGATTACAGCAATGAGCCACCAAACCTGCCTACACTTCTATGCCATTTTTATTTATTAGCTGTTAATTACTTTACAAATAAGTTCATTCCCATAGCACTGAAAAAAAAGAAAGAAAAAGTATGACCAAATCTTGAATTCTTCAAACATATGCTGATTAATTTTATGTCAATGGTTCTCAAGCTGGGAATTGGGACCCTTTCACAGGAGTTGCATATCAGATATCCTGTATATCAGATATTACATTACAGTTCATAAAAGTAGCAAAATTACAGTTATGAGGCAGCAATGAAAACAATTTTATGGTTGGAGTCACCACAGCATAACGAACTACATTAAAGGAGCACAGCATTGAAAACCACTGATCTAGGAGGAAGTGAATTGATGTCAATCCACAGATGTCAAGCTATAGGTGTGTGATAAGAGAAATATAATAAAATTTCTAAAGCAGAATCTAGGCAGTGGTATGTACAAATGTTTATCTTTTTGCTTTGTTTTTGTTGGTCCTAGGAATTGGACCTAGAGCCTCCTATGTTATACAACTGAGCTACACCTGGGGTTAAGAGCCTGGCTGCTCTTCCTGAGGAACCCAGGTTCAATTCCCAGCACCCGCATGGTAGCTCCCAACTGTCTTTAACTCCAGTTCCAGAGGATCTGACATCCTCACGCAGACATACATGTAGGTAAAACACCAATGCACATGAAATAAAAGTAAAGACTTTAAAAAATTGTGGTAAGACAACTCATGTAGGATTTTTTTAACAGTGGTCTATGTATTGTTTAAATAGAGTTTGTCCAAAATTCATATCCTCCCAAAAATTTGTACCTGCACCTTAATTTGGAAATAGGATCTTTGTATATGTAATCAGTTTATAATAAAGTCATACTGACTGCTAAATTCACAATATGGAAGGATGAGCCACAATCTAATGAGTGGTCATTATAAAGAGAGAAATTCATTTACTTACTTTTTGTTTATGACAGGCTCACATGGCCCAGGGTGGCCTCAGACTTACAAGGCAATAATGACTTGAAATTCCTGGTCCTCCTGTTTCCAACTCCTCTAAATGCTACATGCTACCATGCTAGACAAAAGAGGAAAACATAGATGCAGACAGGGAAGAAATCCAGATGAAGAAACAAACTGCAGTGATGCAGCTATACCTCAAAGATACACACAAGGATTTCTGACAGCACCAAGAGAGAAGAGAGAAGCAGGAACCAATTCTATCCTAGAGCCTTCAGAGCAAACTCAGCTCCCCTAACACCTTGATTTGTGACATGTAGCCTACAAAATTATCAGAAAAGAACTTTTTTGTTTTATGCTCTTTAGTTGTGGTATATCTATCTCATAGTAAAATATATATATGGAGAAGAGTGTTTGTTGGGAGCTGGCCACAGTGGTGCATGCCTTTAATCCCAGGGAGGCTGAGGCAGGCAGAGCCCAGCCTGGTCTACAAATTGAGTCCAGGACAGTCAAGGTTACACAAAGAAACCCTGTCTCAAAAAAACAAAACAAAACAAAACAAAAACAACCAAACAACCACACACACACACAAGACCACAGAAGCAGAATAGTCAGGGCTACACAAAGATACTCTGTCTTGAAAAACCAATATAAATTTTTAAATGCATAAATAAATAAATAAATAAATAAATAAGGAAATAAATAAATAAATAGTTATGAAAGTTTCCAGCATGGTGGCACAGCCATGTAATATCAACATTTGGGAGGTATGGCAGGAGGATCAGGAATTCCAGGTCATCCTTGGCTACATAATGAGTTCAGACACACATGCACCAGCATATACACAAGGACAGATAGACATACGTTTCCGAGTTGGGGGAAGTCCTCTCTCTTTATTCAACTGCTTTCCTTTTATTTCTTGCTTTTTTTGTTTTGTTTTTAGGTAGGGCTGGATTTTAAACCCAGGCACTCAAGGCCTTACACATAGTAAGTACTCTACTATTGAACCACATCACTGGACTTTTCTAAGATTTTTTTTTTTTTTACATTTCTGCATATGTATTTTTCTGCATGTATGTACATGCACCACATGTGTGCCTGGTAGGTACCAGTGTAGGCCAGAAGAGAACATTGGATTTTTTGTAACTGGAGTTTCAGATGGTTGTGAGGTAGCTAAAGAGACTCAAACCTGGGTCCTCTGGAAGAACAGCCAGTATTCTAAACTGGCTGTTCCTACATCCCCTCCTTTCCTTTTAAGGTCTTTTTGTCATGCTAGGGATCAAACCTGGGACCTCTCACATGTTAGGCACACACTATACCAGCTATAGTCTTTGTTGCCATTGTTATTTTGAGATAAGATAATGCTAAGTAGGCCTGATTGGTCTGAAACTGGCCATACAGTGGAGAATGACTTTGAATTCTTCTATTTTTTTTTAATTTATTCACTTTTTCTGGTTGTAGCTCCCTCTGTCATCTCATCCAGGTCCTGCCCTCCCTCCCTCTTCTCTGCCTCCCCCTCCCCTAGTCCTCAGAAAGGGGGGACTCTGAAATTTTCTGATCCTGTTTAAATGGGCATTTGTCAAGACTGTACTTATTTAAGTATGGACTCTGCAACCTCTCATATGTTAGGAGATATGTCAATGTGAGTTCATCACTGTGATAGATGGGCTTCTCTAAAAGAGAATTTTGGCGTAGGGGAGACACTATGTGCAGAGTATATGGGGTATGTAGGAGCTCAATATACTGACTTTTTGTGAATACAAGACTATACTGAAAAATGGTCTATATTTGAAGGATGTGGTATAGCTCAGTGCTAGACTGCTTGCCTAGCATACTGGAGACAGTATTTCTAGTTATTTTTTAGGGCTTTTTTGTTTGTTTGTTTTCTTTTTTTTTAATTAATTTATTATACAGTGTGCTCTACCTGCATGTAAGCCTGCATGCCAGAAGAGGGCGCCAGATCTCACTATAGATGGTTGTGAACCACCATGCAATTGCTGGGAATTGAATTCAGGATCTTTAGAAGAAAAGCCAGTGCTCTTAACTGCTGAGCCATCTCTCCAGCCCTCAAGTTATTTTTTAGATTCATCTTTTTTATTTATGTATATGTCTGTGTGTAGCTGTCCACGGAAGTCAGAAAGGATATTGGATCCCCTGGAGCTGGAGTTATACGTGGTTCAGTCTTTTGACATTGATGCTAGGAATAGAACTCAGGTTCTCTGCAAAAGCAACAAGCACCCCTTTTTATTTATTTATTTTTTTGAGACAAGGTTTCTCTGTGTAACCTTGGCTGTCCTGGACTTGCTTTATAGACCAGCTGGCCTCAAACTCAGAGATCTGCCTGCCTCTGTCTCCCCGAGTGCTGGGATCACCGGCGTGCACCACCATGCCCAGCTTTTTTGGGTTTTTCAAGACAGGGCTTCAAACTCACAGATCCACCTGCCTCTGCCTTCTGAGTGCTGGGAATAAAGGTGCTTGTCACTACACCAGTTTCAACAAGTACCCTTAACTGCTAAACCATTTCTCCAGCTCCACACCCTCATTGTATGTATGTACAATATGGGCATGTGTCATGGCATGTATGTAGAGGACATATCAGAAACAACTTTCATCAGGTCCTTCTCTCCTACGATGTGGGTTCTGGGGATCTAACTTAGGTTGACAGTCCTGGTAGTGAGTACCTTTACTTGCTCAGGTATCTTTCTGGCCCTTTTTCTTTTTTGACAAAAGGGCTCATAGAGCACAGGATGGCCTTCAACTCACTATGTAGCCAAAGATGACTGTTGTCAGTTATTAATATTCATTATTGGTTTATCTTTTAGTCAAACAGTGGCTAATCCTAAAACAGCTGTATACCCATATCACCACACAGAGACTAGGATTTACTTAATTAACCTAGAGCACAAGGCTGGATAACAATTACTTCATCCTAAACCTCCAAGCCCGCAGTTTCCTCCCATTCAGATTTTCCACATTATACATGCTTTTAGTTACATCTTAGGTCCAGTTCATCTCTCTCCATGGTTCCAAGTCCTCTCCTTCTTACTCTGCTCTCTGACTCCCCCACTCTCTTATTTCTCCTTACCTCTGGACCAGGATGTCCCACCTTATTCCCTCTATTGCTCAGCATTGTGGCTGGTTGTTTTATTGACAATTCAGAGAACAGAGTGGCATGTTTACACAAATTTGAGACAGGTAATGCTTAGAATAAACATCACAAGTCCGGATTGAAACCAGATAGTGGGGTAGAGAAATGAGCATTTGAATGAACAAGGGTAAATTGTATACATTCCATAAGAACATTATTCCAACTGATGACCTTGAACTTCATAACTACTGCGATCATAGGCTTACACCACTGTACCCCATGCCAGTGAGGGTGTGTGTGTATGAACAAATGGAATTGTATTATAGGATACAAGATTAAACCTCCTAAAGAAACATAGCTGGTATTTCTCCAATGGATATAAAATGGATATATATGGAAAGGGGTTGCTACTCTTGGACTTTAGTTATATGGTTGGCTTTCACATGTATTTTATCCCCACAAAGTGATTTTTTCTCTTCTGAAAAGAAGCTGGGTATGGGGGCACCTGTAATCTCAGCACACTGGGAGGCTGAGGCAGGCGGATCAAGGTTAGCCTGGTTTACAAAGTGAATACAGGGCAATCAATGCTACAGAGAAACCCTGTCTCAAAAAAAAAAAAAAAAAAAAAAAAAAAAAACAAACAAATTTTAATTGTCTTCTCTTGCTTTCCTTCTTTTTTCCCCAAGACAGGGTCTTACTGTGCAGTCCTGGCTGACCTAGAACTTACTATGTAGACCAAGATGGTCTCAAATGCAAAGACCCAACCCAATTGCTGAGATTAAAGGAGTGCATCACTATGTACACCTAATTTTCCTCTTAAGACAGGGTCTCATTATGTAGCTTTAGCTAGCCTGGAACTTACTAGACTAGGCTGGTCTTGAATTCATAGCCATCTTCCTGCCTCTACCTCCCATGCTTGATTTTCTTTTTTTTCTTTTTTCCTTTTCAGTCTCTCAATATCCCAGGCCAACCTTGAACACAGGCAATGTTCCTACATCAGCCACCCAGGTGTGTACCATCATGTCTGATGTCACTTGAGGTTTTAAAGCTAATTTGTTTATTTATCAATTTATTTTTGGTTTTTCAAGACAGGGTTTCTCAGTGTAGCCTTGGCTGTCCTGGACTCGCTTTGTAGACCAGGCTGACCTCAAACTCACAGAGATCCACCTGCCTCTGCCTCCCAGAGTGCTGGGATTACAGATGTGCACCACTGCACCCGGATCTGAAGCTAGTTTATTAATCTTGTTTTGCCACCTTTATGAATCCTGCCACACTGTCATTTGGCTTACAGGTGATAATGAAAGACTTGAGTGACCAGTGCACAGTAAGATCCCAATGTCCAGGGCTGGAGAGATGGCTCAGAGGTTAAGAGCACTGTCTGTTCTTTCCAAGGTACTGAGTTCAATTCCCAGCAACCTCATGATGTCTCACAGCCATCTATAGTGAGATCTGGTGCCCTCTTCTGGTGCATTCATCAGAATGCTGTATAAATAATAATAAATAAATCTTTAGGGGTAGAGAGATGGCTCAGAGGTTAAGAGCACTGGCTGTTCTTCCAAAGGTCCAGAGTTAAAATCCCAGCAACTACATGATGGCTCACAAGCATCTATAATGAGATCTGGTGCCCTCCAGTGAGCAGGTGTACATGAGCCAGAACACTGTAAACATTAAAAAAAAAAAAAAAAAGAAGAAGAAAAGATCCCAATGTCCATCTACTTAAATTATTTCACTGTATCCAGGCTCAAGGATCCTGTTTTCTTGTCCAGCAAGGTATTTCCTATCTGCATTCCTACGCAGAAGAAAGAGGTATGGTGACACAACACAAATGTTTTATTACTCTAAAAACATTAAAACTCAGATCCCAGGATACAGGGGATATCAAGGCAAAAAAGATTAGAGAAGTGGGTAGGCCCTGACATTGAAATTCCATGGTTAGATCTCAGAGGCCCTTTTTCTGCCATCTAGCAGAAACATCTAGTTAAGTTTAGCTGTGATTGAATCTTGGCCAAGACCTTCTCTTCTTGTCTAGGACAATCCTTGTAGCAGAAGCTCAGGTAGAAGAATGAGCAGCTCCTGGACAAAGGTAGGCAAGTGGTAACACATCCAAGGGGCCATTTGAGTCTTCTTTCTTCACCTATGGCGAGGACACCTATTCTCCTACCAAACTAGTTACTCAACTGCCTGCTTTGCTCCTTCCCAACGCTACCCCCTGAGAGAGGTAAGAAGGAGGCCACTGCCTAAGTGTTCCTCCCTTCTCAGCCAAGGTTCTTCTTTTAGCCTAAGAGACACAGAGGAGTCAGATGCTCAAGGATAAGAAAGGGTATCCAGCAGGGATTATGAGCCAATCTATCTGAGTTAAAGGCATCAGTCCATTTCCCAGCATCAGTTCTATTCAAGGAAGAATCTCAAAGGCAGTACAGAGCCAAGCAGGCTTGGGCAGGGGCCTCTACCACCACTTCCCAAACCCTGAAGGGCCTAGTGCTCCCGTGACTAAGGACTGCATGGCACAGACTGGGCAGGCAAAGCCTATCTTCCGGGCTGGAGGTGGTTGTGGAGATGTTCTGCCTGCATCTTCAGCCCCTGGAATTCCTCTTGAATGAAGTCTGTGAGGGCTTTTCTCATCTCCACCTGAGAGAAAGGATGGTGCTGGCCTGCATTCCTCAAGGTCCATAGCTGAGGTACCCTGGGAGTCTGAGGGGCTGGGAAGGCCAAGGATAGCTAGGGGACCCTGGGAGGAAACTCACAGCCGACTTGTTCTCTGCCTGGAGCCGTTCAAGCACAGGGAGTGCACTGAAGGGTTTCCCGATCAACACGGTGATTTTCTGTAAGGAGGCAGACAATCAAAGATGACAAGGAACCTAAGTTCCAGTGCAAACAAAGTGGATAGTCAGAGCTATGCCCTGTCTTCAATGGGCTTGGTGCTTCTCCTTTAAAACAGGCAGCTGGGCTTAGTGGTATCCAAGGGCCAGCCTAGTCCTGGGACCCATCCCATCAATGATTTGTCCTGCCCCACCTGTCCTCTACCACAAGCTCCCCCCCACACACCTGATTTTTAATTCTTATTCTAAAGGCCTTGCTTCCAGAAAAGCCCACTTAGCTCCTCTACTACATGCTCATGCTCAGCAAATCCTCAATCAATTCTTTATAGTATGGGCTAAAAGACACAAGGCAGATAGCAGGCAAATAGGTAGACAAGTCAGCAATGCTTACCCACCTGTCCAAATCGAGGCAAGTAAGGTGGGCTGTTAGGGAGGACATCATTCATTCCTGTACCACAGTGGATAGAAAGCCAGCCATTGGGGGAAGCAGGAACCCAGAGAGAGCCCCAGGCACTTCTCTCAGCCACAACAATCAGCAATCCCCATTAACAACATCTAAGAAAGTCCCCTCTCTACCCTTCACACCTGACTCACCAACATGCCATAGTGGCAGGATAATGGGGTTTAGACGACACTCAGCAATCAGCCGTCCAATTCCTACTTAGGAGAAAAGAAGAAGGATTGGCACAAGCTGGGCCAAGCTTCCCTGCCAATCTTTGGCCAATGTCACCTCTACAGTCTCCCAATTAAAGACTAGTCCTTGACTCACCACCTGTCCACTTCCCACTACTCCTGACACACCCAACAGAGAGGGAAATGAAGCCGAGGACTCAAAGGGCAATCACTGGATGGGTGACTTGGCTGTGTGAGCTTGGCCAGTAACACTTACCCCACTTAAAGCGCAGAAATTCGGAACTCATGTTTACTTTCCCTACGGAGAGAAGACAAATAGAAGGCTTGGGCCTGGAACCATGCATGCTTGAGGACCCTGACCAAGCACCCAACTGACCTTCTGGGAAGATGTGTACCCAGTCCCCATGGTTGAGCTTCTCCAAAATGAAGTCCATTCCTTTCTGATAAACACCATCTCCTGAGGAAAAAGTTCTGTTCTCTTTAGTCCATTCTCTAGGGGGAAGACATCACATCAAGCTTTCCAAACCGTAGTGAAGTAGATTCAGGGCCTACTCCTGGTCAATTCTCATTAGGATGGAGGCAACAGTTCAACCCCCATAGCACCATCCATAGACACCCCCAACTAGGTCTAGAGCCTGTTCCTCCCTGCTACCCTGGCCCTTCACAGTTTTGGCTTGACTACATCCTCCTCTCTGGTACTCTGACCCTTCACATTTTCAGTTTGACCATTATCCTCCTCTCAAGATGGGCATGGTGGCTCATGCCTAATATCTCAGCACTTGGGAAGCTGAATCCAGAGCACTGCCGTGAGTTTGACGTCAAGATGGGCAACACAGTAACATCCTGTATCAAAACAAAACAATATCCTCTGGATGGAAAGATGGTTCAGTGGTTAAGAGCACTGGATGCTCTTCTGGAGGATCCAGGTTCAATTCCCAGCACCCACATGGCTCAGCAGTGTAGGCAACTCTAGTCCCAGGGACTCCAACTCCCTCTTCTGGTTTCACCAGACACTGCATGAATATGGTGTACATACATGCAGGCAAAACACTCATACAGAGAAAATACAAGTAAAATTTATTAAAAAAAAAAAAATCCACAATATCCTCTCAGCCTCTTAGTACCTGTCAAATGCAAATAGCTCTTTTCTTTTTGATAATTAGGGTTAGTACTGTGACTCAGGCTGGCCTCAAACTTAGGGCAATTCTTCTGCCTCAAATTTGCTGGTGCTGGATAATGGGCATACATCAAGACACCTGGATAGACAGTATCTCTTACTGAAATGATAACCATGGCAGCTCCTCCATCTCCCTCTTCTCTTATGGCTTGCCCTGCTGGAACCTGCTCTCCCAACACACACCCATTTGCTGACTCCAGATCAGCTCGAGAGCCTCTCTTACTCTTTGGATGCCACTGCTTTGACCTGCCCTGAGGTTTCTGGGCCAAGGGAGAACACTTCAATAAGCAGAAAACACAGAAGGGACTAGGAAATTTGAGAGGACTGATTGGAATTTTATGACCAGCCTGGGTTAATGAGACTATGTCTCAAAACAAACAAACAAACAAACAAACAGATTGGAAAAAACCTGAAAACAGGAGTTCAGCTGCTCTCAGGCTAGTAAAATCTTGGAGACATTCTAAGATGATCACACTGGAGTGAGGAAAGGCAACACAAACGCTCAGCTATCAGCCACATATAGATGTGGAGACCTAACACCTCTTGTGAGCTAGCAACCAGGAGTGACCTGGACATAATAAGAATCTCTATAGCAGTGGGAAAGTAACCAAAGGGTTGACAGAACTTCAAAAATGAAGGGAGGCTGAAGGAACCAATAAATAACCTAAGCATATAAAGTGGAGGGCATCTCACAGGAGAGAGAGAAACACTGGGGCTCTCTCAGGTCAGTGCACTAAGAACTGCCTTGCAACTGTTCTCTGTAAGCCTGTTGTTTGGAAGGAGTGGTTAGTGGTTCAGAAGTCTCAGCCCAACCTCAACAGGGACCTGCTACTCAGGGAACACAAAGAGGCACAGCTTCCCTACTTGGGGTGGCAGTACACAAAAGGGTGGTCACCACAGGTGTTTATTCCTCTAGCAAAACCTACTACTCAAATATACCCTCTGAGCTTAAAATGGGAAAGTAAAAAGAATAGTATGCCTTTTGAACAGCAGCTCACACTTTTTAAGCTTTCTCAAATGTTATTTCCATTTATGTAAAAATCACTTCAATGCTTAAAGGTCAACCTACAAAATCTTAGGCTTAGGAAAAAGATGGTTTGTTTAGTTTAAATACAGAAACAAAGTAGAGCAAACTCTGTTTCAATCACATGTAATTAGATCTGTGCTATCTTTGAAAATAATGTTACATTTTCTAGTTTTTGCTTTATATTTTTACAAGGCTGGGGCCGGAACTCAGGGCTCTGTGTTACCTAAGCACAAACTGTACCACTGAACACACCTCCAGCCCTCAATTCCTCAATTTCTCTGTGTATGTTGGCACGCAATAGGTTTAGCTTTTTTTTTTTTTTTTTTTTTGAGACAGGGTCTCAGTTTCTAGTCCAAGCTGGCTTCAAACTCATGATAAATCACCTACTTCAGCCTCCCAAATATTGCCAAATACTGGTACTACAGGTATAAGCTACCATACCTAGCTTTTTGTTCTTGAGACAGGGTTTCTCTTTGTAGTCTTGGCTGTCTTGGAACTAGTTCTGTAGACCAGGCTAGCCTCAAACTCAGATTCATTTTCCTCTGCCACCTGAGTGGGGTTAAAAGTGTGTAACAGCATGACAAGCTTCTTCTTCTTCTTTTTTTTTTTTTTTTTTTTTTTTGAAACTAGGGTGTCATGCCGGGCTTAATCCCAGCACTCGGAATTAGGGTGTCACCACGTACGTAGTCTTGCAGTTCTGGTCAGTCTGGAACTTGCTGTTTTGACCAGGCTGGCCTCAAACTCACAGCAATCCACATGTCCCTGTTTACTGACTGATGGGATGGGATTATAAGCATGTTCTACCCTCTGCCACCTATACTGCTATGCTATGGCTCCCTTGAGTCCTTTTAAGACAGAGACACTGGCCAACAGCTTCCTTGCCCCCAAGGGAGGCCTGGATATGCCTCCCAGAGTAACAGCTCACCTCGACACACAGGCACACATTTGCCCAAGCTGAAGAAATGGGAGTGCAGCTCCTTGGTGAAGCAGATGTCTGCAGCTGCTGGGGTCCTAGAGCAGCAACAGATCCAGTCATCTCTGTCTTCAAGACTTCCTATTGCTTGTCCCCAGCTCTCCCCACCCAGTACAATGCCTGCCATAGTTGTCATGCAGAATTAAACTCAAGAAAAAAGGCCTTTGGGGCTCTACCCATGCCCTTCCTAGAATTCGGGATGCCACCTCCTGAACAGAGGATAAAGGAAAATCTAGGCAGAAATGTATGGCCACTTCAAGGGGCCCATTCCTCCTCACCAGCGCATCAACTTCAGGTTCCAGATGTGGCGGAGTTTCAGGATCCCTATGAAAAAGGAAAGTTCTTGATGTGACATGGCTACTTTTATACTACTTCTAAATTTCGGATATCCTGCCCAAATCACATTCCCTGACGCAATCCTAAGGGGAACACACAAAACTTCCAGCAGCTAGGCAGTAAATAGCCAATAAGCAATGCCAGATTTTCCCAAAGAGCCTTGTGAGAAGTGAATTTATTCTGTCTTTGGCTGGTGCCTGCTCTGGTTTTGTCTCCCTGAACTAGGCGTACTGGCACAGTACCCCAGAGATGAGGGTCATCCATGCAGGACTGATGGTTGGAGACGGTGATGAGGGGAGTGTCAGGGTCTCGGTTCTCAATAAGATCATATAGCACTTCCTTGTTGTGCACGGTGAGGTGGTTCATGTACTCTGGGAAGAGAAATCAGTCTCAAGCTCTTGCTCACCTCACCTGCCCGAGGCTTCCTCCTCTGCCAGAAGAGCCCCCACCGTACCCCCAGTACCCAAACCAAAATCTAACCCTAGCCAGGCTGGGGGTCTGTGAACAGACTCTGCCTTGGCCTTTGGCCACTCACTGGTCCAGAAACAGCTGTAGGTGCCCACCAGGCCCATGACGACACTGCTGGTTAGGGTCCAGGTGAGCCGGGGCACTGCGGGGAACGGCCACTTCACGTGGAGGGGCATCTCCTCCGGCTCCGGACCCGCCCCCGGAGCCCGGAGCTCTCCTGCCCCAGGCCAGCCGGTGTCCTCCACCGCTCAGAAGAGAGGGATCTCCGACAGAAGAGCAGAGGACTAGACTAAGGTCACCTTGTAGGTCAGTTTGGAGCCTCCCTAGTACTGCTCTCTGAACAGATAAGAGCTGCAGCTAGGGTTAGGAACCGGGGTTGTTGTAGGGAGCTTCACACACTACAGAGCTAACTTGGCGGCCTCAGAGTCCGCGAATCCGCCGGAAAGCGAGCTGAGGAAAGCGCCTTGCCTGTTGTCGCAAAACACGCCTAGGTCGCTTGACGGCTACCGGGGGCAGGGCTATGCCGGCCTCGTCCCGCCCCTCTCCCGTCAAGGTTTTGGCTCCAGACCGCCAAAGCAGCTCCTCTCTTCGGTTTCCAGTATCTATAGGTGACATTAACTATGCTGCACCATTACCTGAAGGCACGCCGAGTCCTAGACTTGAGGAACCCTTTTGCTTATTCTCTCTGTCTCTCCCACCCCATATGTATCCAGTTATGCATGATTCTGAAGGAGCACGCGGAGGCCCAAAAAGGGTTGTCCGCGTCTATCATTCAGCGCCTTACTGTTAAAGCAAGGTCTCTTACTGAGCCTGGGGCTTATGTTTTCCACCAGAATGCCTCAGAGATTCTGTTTTATTTATCCTCTCCATTTAAAGTAGAATAGTCTCCTGTAACCCACACTAGCCTTAAACTCACAATGTAACCTGTACTGGCCTTGAAGTCACAGCGATTCCCCTGCCTCTGTTTCCCAAGTGATAGATAGTATCATGTGTGCATCGCAAGAGGTTTGTTTGTTTGTTTCTTTGTTTGTTTGTTTGTTTTTAAGACAGAGAGAGCCTTACTCTCCTGGCTGGCTGGCCCAAAACTCACAACGATACAGACCCACTTCTGCCTTCAAGTGCTAAGATTAAAGGCATATATCTCCTGCTATTTTTTAACCCAATTTTATTGATTGTATTGTAGTATTTCCCCTAGTAAACTAGTGGTGGGGGTGGGAGTGGCTATCTTCGCGATTGAACACTTGCTTAGCATTTATGTAGTACCAAAACTAACAAATTTCTGCCATGAGACATTTTTCTAAGCTGCCACTCCATAGTCATCCAGTGACTCAGTCTCTAATCACTCTGCCTATCCTGTGTGGAAGGTCCTTTGCTTTCTTTGGGTTTTCTGAGTAGTCCACAGGCAAACCTAATTTATTCATGCACAACCACATTGGGGTTCAGGGTCTGAGGACCTGAAGAGATGACTGTCTCTGCTCTGCTCCCTGCTGCAGGGAAGTGGCCAGAGAATGAAAACCTCCTCACCTTGGTTCCTAGGTCCAGGTAATTGCTCCAATGATGGACTACTGCTCCTCAGCGCGAAAGGTACTAGTCACACGCAGGTCCCCAAGTTGTAGTTCATTCTACAGAAGAAGTGCCCATGAGCAGACAGGTGGCCAGTTTCCAGGCGCTGGCTCCTGGGCAGAGGAGCAGAGCCCAGCTCTGCTTTTTGGGACCATTGGTTGTGGGGTCCGGTGCCTTTGCGTGGTTCTAGAAACGGGCTTCCTCTTCTCCCCCTCCCCCTACTCCACCCTACCCCACCCCACATCCTTACCCTTCCTGCCTGGCATTGCAGTTCTGTGGAGTGTTTTATGTGGTTCAAGGCTGAGGCAGTCGTGGAGCCGAGTTGGTTGCCAAGGTATGAGAAAGGCGAGCCAGAACTAAGGCTGAGTTTGGAAGGTTGGGATGTGCATTGAGCTGAGGCCTAGAACAGTCGTTCTTTCTGGTTCTTTTTTCCCTAGAGTTCTATTGGTCTCAGTCCCCAAATGTGGCTTGACCAGTGCAGAGCTGCAACGATGCTCACATGTATCCTAAAACAGACACAGTGCAAGGAGACCAAAATAAGTATGAGTGACAGAGCAGGTGGCCAGAGAGAAATATCAAGGCCAGCCAGGAAGATACTGTTACAGAGGCAATGAGATGGGCAGAACCAGGAAGACATTTCAAGACAGACACATAGGAAGAAACTAACAGAAAGAAGAAAGGGACAGAATGATTGAGAAAAGCATGTAGATAGAAGCAGAGGGCCTCATGCTTCCAAATGTGATATGGACAGGGAGTACAGTAAAGGGCTGAGCTCAAAAATATAAGGCAGAGGTGAGCCTAAGACAAAGATAAACCTGAGACAGATGCTCAAAGAGGGGGATCTAGGAACACCCAGGAAAGTTGAGGTCAGCCTGGGAATAGATTGCGAGGTCGAGGCCAGCCTTGGTTACAAACTGAGACCTATATATGAAACAAGCAAATGAAAAAAGAAAGAAAAAGAAAAAAAATAAAGCACATAACATGTTACATATAGGAAGAGAGAGGTGATGGGAGTCAGGTGTGGTGGTGCATGCCTATAATCCCAGCACTCAGTGCAGAGAAACCCTGTCTCAAAAAAGAAAAGAAAGAAAGAAAGAAAGAAAGAAAGAAAGAAAGAAAGAAAGAAAGAAAGAAAGAAA